AGTATATAATAAAATACAATTATGCGTCATGTATACCAGTAAACAAACCATACGAAAGGCATCTATATTTATATTCGTGTTTTTAGCTTTATTTTTGGGGACTATTTGTGCATTTATCATGAAATATCTTGGAGATGGGACCCAAGTCTAACCACGAAATCCATTTATGTTTCGCATACAGTTTTTATACATAATAATGTTTTAAAGAATTTTGTGCATATGAGAAACATTTGTATACACTGAACCCTGAGAAAGCAAAGGTGCCACTCTCTCAGCCGCCCATGGGGACAATTTTGGAATATTTGGGAATTCCAGATAAGGGAGACCCCAAAAACTTGTGCAACTAAAAACATAGAAACAGACTTATTAAGACAGAGCTCAACTATTTGCAGCCTCAGAGCAAGAATGGCACACTTCAGCAAAAGAATAAAAGGCCATGATCAGCTGCAGTCAATAAATAGCCAAATAAAAACTGAAAAGGAGACCAAAACAACGAAGGCAAAGCTTCTAATTGCAGCCCAGTTCATTAAAAAGGTGACATTATTTGCTTAATGTATTAATCTCTATTATCCTGCTTTTCTCCCCACATTGGGAGCTTACAGGCTAAAAATTTGCAAAAACACGATTAAAAACTTGAATCCCTACTGCAAAACATATTTTGAGGGTCTTCCTGGTTGGGGTGGGGATGCTGGGAGTTGTAGTCCAACTCTGCCCCTCCTTCCCTGGAGATCTCTAGTATAAGGGGGGGGGGAATCATGGACCCTCTTGAATGACTGGAATTGGGGAGGGAAAAGCATGTTTTGTCTTTTTGGAAGGAGGCAGGGGAGAGAGAAAAATGCAAGTCCTGCAACTCCCATCATCCTCTTACCGGGAGGCCTCCCAATTTGCTGGGGACCCCCTGCTCCCCCAAACCCAGAGGGAGGAGGAGGGAGGCAGGGGCGTCGCAAAGGCCCAGAAGCACCGGGGGAAAAGGCCAGGAGGCCATCGCAGGCGAAAAGCACGTGGGAAGGCGCTGACACGCGTCCGCTCCCGTGCAAGGGGAAACAGAAACCAGAATAGGCTCCTCCCCTTCCGGCCCAGGCACGTGGGGGAAGGCATGACGTCACGAGGCTTCCGTTAAGCCACCCTCCCCTCCCCTCCCCAAAAAGAAAGAAAATGGTGCAAAAACAAAAGCCTTCCATTGCATTTGCATCTTGGCTTTGCAAACACTGGGATTGCATTTGCAAAATTGGGGGGAAAGAAAAGGCGGGGTAGAATCAAAAGCTATATATGAATTATTATTCATGTTAACAACAACAATAATTTATATATTACTTTTAATTATATCCCACCTTTTCTTCCCCCCCCCC